TAGGTCTATAGATATAGTCCACACACATTTTCTTTATTGTTCTATAGTTCTGGTAAGTGCCAATAGCAAATGTGCTAAGAGGGAATATATCATCGGCAAGCTGTTCAGAGGACCTAAACCCAGAAAGCGAGAGAGAAAAAACTATTTCATTCTTTAACCAACATTATGTATTTTTCCTTGCTTTTTTCAACATTCCAGATTTTAATATGAACAAGCTGGCCGACTTTATTGTAGAGACAATTAGTTCTTGTAACTTTTATGCAGATTGATTTCTTCTGGACACCTGGACCCCGATATTGTAACATTAAGCTAAGCGCCCTCATTTACGATACTGGTAAATCGTTTTGTCAGCCTCAATCAATTACCATAGAGGAAATACGCATTTTGTTTCTATTTCAGAACCGCACTTTTATTGTTTGCGCACCAGATAATTGTATTGCCTTTCATTATCAAATTGAATCTGTATCAGCTTGCCTGATGCGCGCTGGTAACTTGAATTTCAACTGTGAGGACTATGTTAATTTGTAACGTAAAAGCTTTCTCCAAAAACGATTTGCGTATGTGATGCATCATGTGCTGTGCCTCTCCTGTAGTATGATCACTTTTCCTTCACTGGTTGCTTAAAAAGTGCTCGCAAAAGCGAAAGGTTGTCCGGTGTGAGTGACTGACTTGACCGATTTTACTATGAAATACACAACCACAAGGCGGAGATGTTGGCCTGATAAAGGTGAATATGGAAAAGTGTGGAGGATTTTGAGGTAGGGAGAGGCGGGTGTTGTTGTTATTCACTTGTATGTAGAATAGGTATCTCAGAACGTTTCCAAGAAAGGACATCAGACTGATAGAAAATTCTTGGAGATGGCTGAAGGCAAGGCATCATATCAGTTTCAGATCTGAGTCTCTGACTTTTACTAACTTCGTTCATTATCGGTTAACTGCACCACAAATCAAATTCAATGTTTGGATTGTAACAGCGTACATCAACAATTTGATAAACATATACTTTAAGGGAACCGGCGAAATGTTTCTTCTTCTAAGCCATATTACAAGAGAACTATTAGGATCTCCTTAGTCGTGTTTCGAAACTGTATTCTGTCCCCACCAAGCTGTAATACTACTAGATAAATTAATAACAACCTTAAGAAAACTGAGCTGGCTTTAGCTATTGCCATTGTAGTTCGCATTATAACCAAGAGAACGTTATAATAATACATGCATTATGGTTATCATCTGGACCTGGCGGACATAAGAGAATATTGCCTTTTGAAAACGTCTTTTTTCGGGTGCTAAAAAAATTTGAACCATTAGTTTGAAATTTTACCAAACTTTAGACTCCTGAATTTTGATAAAATGTCAAATCTATCATATTATTATTTCCAACTACATTGTCATTTCTGATTAGTTTCTAATTAGTAGATTAGAATCAGATGTTTCCTCAATGGCTCATATAATATAGCGTGCAATGCTGACATATCTGTTCACCGCTAATGAGGTTTTATTCCATTTTACCCAATAAAAAAAACAAACAAGCAAACAAAACCAACACATCCAGCGTGTCTGTCACCTTATATAGGTATCATTTAGGAGGCACTGTTTTGGGAAGCATTACTTTGGTATTCAAGCCGATTTTTCAATTACGATGTCTTTATCTGAAACTTAAACAGGCACGCTACAACATGCATATTATGAAATATGAAAATTTCTTTTGCTTATATGTGTAGGATGGTTTGAAATGTGCCGTAACATATTGTCTTTAGTCTGCTGTAGATCGGACAATCATTTTATGTCCGATACGCCTCCACAGAATTTTAAAAAGAGAGGGACAAAAAAACTTAACAAAAACTTTACTGTCCTTCTGAGGGTCTCAGATGTTTATCTAGAGAGTTGCTTGCGCAAGGTTAATTAAGTGATCGCCAAAATAAAGCTTGTCAGCCCACGTGACATTTAAAACAGAACAAACCTCGTCCTTTTTTTTTAATACATTAAACGAGAGGAAAACGCAGGTTGGCTGGGAGCTGTAAGAAGCAGAGTTTTATTCTTGTTTGCGCTATCTAGATTCTAGAGATTTCTTCTTTTCGCTTTTCTGTATGTGGGGTGAGGGAGGGGGGGGGGGCTTCTAGTTTGTCTGCTAGGTTTACATCCTGTTTTTAGCAGTTTCAATACGATCGTGCAACATCAGTCACGTGACCTTCAGTGGCGGTGGGTGGACCAAAATGTGGGTGGGGCTTAGGTTGCTTTAACTTCTTTACTACCAAATAGCAAGCAATAAGAACAAACAGTGATACTTTTTTCCATACTCACGGCGAGCCACGGCATTTTGAGAACCATTCAAACGAGAAGAGTCACCTTTGTCTTCCTTCTCTTTGTTCTACGTTAAATTTTTCTTGATGCTGGGTCGAAACCGTTTCGCCTCCAAATTTCTCTAATTAATTTTCATCTGATGAAAACTTTGCCTCAAAAGTGGTTTGATGTAATTAATAACTGTTAAATCTCAGCGGTACACACACAAACATGCATACACAGCACTCCACACATATACCGCCTGTGAGCTGGATTAGCCGTGTAGTCGAGGAAAGAAGAAGGCACCTAACAAAGGTCCAATGGGTGCATAGGTAACTGGGTCACTGGGGAAAAGTGTGTCGCAAACTTTCACCCCATTGTCAGGGCTTGGACAGCGTGAGCCCTCTGTGCAGTGTTTTCTTTTTTTCAAGTCTTCTTCCCTTTTACAAGAGGGGTTTCATTAATGAGGGGCTGTGGGAACGGGCTCGTCCTTTGCTGAACCCTAAAGACATTTGATTGGGTGTTAGGTTACTATAGTTGTAAGCGGTGGCAACAGCGATTGGATAAACGAGCAAGCCGCCAAGTTGGTCACTCTGTGTTCATTGCCTGCGATCATAACGGCGTCAACTGCTTATTTCGTTATTTTCATTTGCTTTGGGAAAGAGTTGGGGGGGGGGGGGGGGGCTCAAGCCCGTGAGCCCTTCTCTACCCACCGCCACTGGTGACCTTGTGCGTGTCTTATCTAAAAGCCTAAAGGGTCAGTTGTTGGCGGGATCGGCAGCTGCCTTAGAAGTGGGACCAGTTCACATATTTGGATAAGGATTTTAGTTGGGGTTTCCCTGACAACTGGATTCTGTTTTCTGCTTCAGCTCACTAGCCTGTTAACTCCGCTTGAGTTCGCGTGCCTGCATTCCCGTTGTTCTGTGAAATCGTCAGTGGAAAGGTGAGGTCTACTGGTAATCAACATGTAGAGTGTGCGTTTAAGATTATGTAAAGTGTGACCGTGTCGAGCGAGGGATTAAAACAAATCCAGACACCAAAAATAAATTGCAAAAACCACTCTGTACAGCTCTGCCGTCGTAAGGGAAAACTACGAATGGTCAAAAATTTTCGATTTTCGTATTTTTACATATTTCATAGAGTATTTAATTCTGCATCTGGTGGTGTAAAAATTTTAATCATATCCTAATCCGTTGTTGCGCAATTGAGAGTTCGTCGTTTTCCCGTACACTGGCGAGCTCCGAGCCAGAGCTCAGTGTAAGGGAGAACGACGAATGGTCGATCGGTCACGGATCACTGCTCTTTCGGCGTTGTCCCCTGGTCTCTGCCGTTGGGCAAATTCGGCATGGGCGACGAATGACAACTTATCACTGTTGCGACAGTACAAACATACTAGGCCTTTTTAGCAAACAAACACACCACCACCCCCTCCCCCGGAGTACCGTCGACCAGGTTTATAAAAATGTATCTCTTAGTGTGTCTTTCTGTCTGTCTTCACGTATTAGGCCTATGTTGATGGTGTGAATTGACAAGAGCAGGTGGGAGAGAGGGGAAAACGGATGGGAACAGGGGAAAGGGGTGGGGATGGGAGGGTCAAAAAAGTATTTAGGGAGAAATTTATTTGCACTGCATATTAGTGTCCGCCCAGATGTTCACAGACTAACGTCATATTAGTTTGCTGTCCAGTCATTTGACATCCCAAATCCCAACGATGGTTATAGTGCCGCAATTTGTCTAGCACGTGTCACTGGTCGACATCATTATAGAATTAACAAGCAATTAATGACATTGCGTTATGAGAGTAAATTTCTTTGTCCAACTTAAAAAGTGGAGGTATTGTGGCGACACTTAGTCTTGCTTTACGATTTTTTATGACTCGAGTATAATAATGTCTTACAGATTCAAACTGCTCTTGTCGATCTCTACTTTGTGGTATGTTTTCCGATCCGATCAACTGAATCCGTTATTAAATACAAAGCGTTGTATTACCTCTCCCGAAAGCGTTTGTGATACAGTCTTGTCAGATTGTTACATTTCTTACGTGAAAGTTTGCCTTTGCAATGATCTGATCGTATTATTGACATTGTAACATTGTTGATCCCTTTGGTCGTGCAAGGAAAATTTTGCAATTAGCGAAAATAAAAGTAAAACCCGCTTCTGAAGAGAATACAATACAAAGATATCATGGAGACCAAACTGAGACAGTTTTAAATCAAGCTGTTGAAATGGTGTGCACATCTGATTTGTACCCTGACTGTGTAGTATTTAACCAAGCGAGGAAGGGAAACGAAGGACGTTTACCGAGTTACAGTTGGGATATAACAAAAACCTAACTTTATACGTATAATAGCTAGTTTGTATACGTTTTATTTTTATTTGTAGTACCCAGTACACAGTCATTACTGTCAATAATGCGCCGCAACTGACCATCGCCTACACCCATAACTTTTCATAAACGTTCACGAGTGTAAGGGAGAACGACGAACCGTACCATTTGTCGTTTTCGCTTATATCGCAAGGCTCACCTGCGGGTGCGCAATGTGAGGGAGAACGACGAATGTCGAATAACTTTGCTACTTTTAAATCTAAACCATTCAAACTTTAGAAACTGCTTTAGGAACATCTCAATCAAATATCTGGTGAATTACAGCTTAAAAGATTGGAAAATAGAAGAGTTATAAAGTGAAACAAGTTTTTGCCTCTCCTGAAAAATTTGCCTCGCTACCTGCGCAGGATCATTCGTTGTTTTCCCTTACGACGGCAGAGCTGTAAGGAGAAGTTGTGTGTGTGCACCGTACCTGTTAATATTCCAGCCTCAAGGTAGGGTTAGCATCAGTTTTTAATGTTTCATTAATTGTATTTTGCTTTTGTTTTTTACTTGTATGTGTCTACTGCCCTGATAGACACATGCAATTAGTTTCGAAGGGAGATCCCAACCTAGTTTCATTCCGGTTGCCGTAACTGTTTTATAACTCTGAAACTTCGGCGCGGGTGGTTGAAGTTGCTTTTGTGTGGTCTGCTCCTTTATTCCGATCAAACATCTATCGTCTTTAGCTCGCCTTCTTTTTTTTGGTCTGTTACTCTCTAGATCTAGTAACACTTTTAATCCTCGGCTCCTAACTGTGTTGCAAATGCTGTTAAAGTCGCACTAAAACTAAAACGTAATAAACTGAACCTTCGGTTGACTGGGTGCACCGAAAGAGAGATAAGAGACTAACAACAAAGCAGAAAAGATTCTATCCCGAGGCTAGTTAGGTTTTTGCAAGGAAGTGACACTCCATCCAGAACTACCCAACTACGCCCACTGATAATGGGACGGCGGCTCATTTTGCTACCTCAGAATTACAAAGTTCTAACTGCCGAGTCCCTTGTTTTGAGAAATTGGACATAATTTATTTTTTTGAGTTTCACAAGCTTTTTCGAAAACAATTCTTTGATAACAACCCAGAATTATCATACGATTTTGATAGAGCGGACAGAACATGTATTGGTTTCTGACCTCATGGTCTTAGTAACACAAAACGGCCAAAATTGTCGGATCGAACTTTGTAATTATGAGGTAGCGATTTGTAAGTCCTGTTCCTTTAGGGGTTTTAAATTGTGTGCACTACTGTTCCAATGTGCAGTGCAACGTTGGTTTATTTTGTAGATCTATTACCTTAAAGATTTCGTCGATTCGATGCTTTTGTATCAGAGTCGTGTACTCGAACATTATTTTCTTTCGGTAGACTGAATCTTAAAGAAAACACACTAGATATAAGAATTGCTAAACCATCTACCTGAAACCAGGCGAAGAAAAATCAGCCACCTCCCTCCCCCACACACACAAAAAGGGACCCCCCCCCCTCCCCCCTTTCCCAACAAAACAAAACACACATCAAACAAGCACAAAAAACGGACAATTCTGACACTTTAAGTTAAGTAACGAACAACTTCCAATTTGAGCTTCTGATACACTGTCAACTGCAGTCGAATCTGCTCTAACGGCCACCTGTATACGACAAATGCCTGTACAACAGCCACTTCTTCCTATCTCCTCCCTTCTGTATTTATAAGCTTTATAATGACTGTGTAAAACAGCCATCTGGCTCAGACTGCCAATTTTATTCTCGACAATAGGTGACATCTCAGACAGTTTCGACTGTAGTTCGAAAAACCTGCCCC